AAAATGTTGTAGGCTAGGTTTTTTTTTTCATTGTTGTTGTTGTTGTATTCTGTTTTTACCAGAGGGAGTGTTGGTGTCACGTGATGAGCATGTAGCTTAATATCTAAAATTTTCTTGAATATTTAGGAAATGAGTTGAAAGTATAAATATGTGATTTTAGGTTAGAGTGGGTTGTTAATTGATTAGTGAGACTGCTACAATTATTAATTTATTACTGAGTCAGTGACTGCGTTAATTACTTTCTCTGTTACTTGTTTAGTTAATTCAGTTCTTTTAAATTTTGATCGTGTGTTTCAATGGAGTAGTAGAGATACGAGGGAAGGTAACAAGATAAAGCCTGTGGTTAGTTATATGGAACTTGTACAACATATAGAACTTTAAATATAAGAAAAGAAATACCTGCATTATCATTTAGTGGGCTGAGCTGTTCATTATATTATTGCTGAATAATATATAAAAAAACACCCAACAAAGGAACCATTATGTCATTACATGGAAATGTACGGAAGAAGATTTCATAAACGGACATAACAATTTTGATTAAATTATCTAAATTAAATTCTAGTAGATTCATACATTTTTAAGCCATTGGTTGAACATTTTTCTAGTTATGATTATTTTTGTTTATACAGAATAGATATTAAAAATTGTTGTTCTTAGGAAAATAAAAAAAATTTGGTATATTGTTTTACTAGGAGCTAAGATATTTCCAAAAATAAAAAATTAATTTTTTTATTTTGTTCGTCATCTGAAAATAATATTCTGAAATGCTTTACTATAGGTGGAGAAATTCTTTCCTGTTTTCTCTTGTCTTTGGTCTCCCTTCTATGGCAGTTATGATGTATTTTATGGGAATACGTATGTCAACTGGAAAACATGACATATGCTGTCTTATACCAGGGTTGTCAACAGAGAATCTGTTTCTATGGATCCTAGCCACTCCTGTCCAGGTATAAATTTTATATTGTTGTACAAACTTCTTTATTTTCTAAAACACAGTAACACATTTTATATAAAAGATTATCAAAGCTTGAAGTTATACTATCATGTCAAATTTACATGAACATCTTTTTACTTACAATGACCCAGTGGTCAGCTTGCCAGTTTGTTACTCTGTGGGTCCATCCTTCATGTCTCGTTACTGTAGAAATAAAATGTATGCTCATTGCTTTGGGGCCATGGATGGATTGTAAAAAGTAACAATTAAATCCCATTTTTGGTCTGATAAGAGTAGCCCAAGAATTGGCAGCAAGTGTTTTCACCGGCTGCCTACCCTATAGTCTACTAGTTCAAAATTATGGAAAACTGTTAATATGAGTGCCTACTGGGTTGTTTTTTTAAGTATATTAAATATCTTGCATATTATCCTGTATTCCAGTTTTCAGCTGTATGTTTGAGTTTTAAGAATGTAAAACATAAATAAGAAATTTACAAGTTATTTGTTACAATGTATTAAAAATCAGACAATTCATGCAAAAATCAAGGGAAGTAATATAATATCTTGGTTTTATTTAGTGATAGTTCATATAATATCTTGGTTTTATTTAGTGATAGTTTATATAATATCTTGGTTTTATTTAGGGATAGTTCATATAATATCTTGGTTTTATTTGGTGATAGTTTATATAATATCTTGGTTTTATTTGGTGATAGTTTATATAATATCTTGGTTTTATTTAGTGATAGTTTATATAATATCTTGGTTTTATTTAGTGATAGTTTATATAATATCTTGGTTTTATTTAGTGATAGTTTATATAATATTTTGGTTTTATTTAATGATAGTTTATAACAATGTACATTGTTACCCGATGAAGGCTCCGGTAAGAGGGCCAAAAGCTTGCAAGTAAAAGTATTTTGATGTAAAGAAAAGTCTGTGTATAATTCTACTTATTAATATTACCTTTAACCCTTTCCTAATGGTCAACTTACATCACAGCACTTAGGTTAAAATGGTCTCATTCAAGAGACATATTTTACCAAATTTTAAAAACCTAATTATTGTTCTTTGTTACAGAAATGAAGTGTGTATTGTGTGTAAAATGAAGAATTTTAGTAATTTGATAATTTCAACTTAACCAGTATTAACCACTACTGTATCAGAATGGATTGAAGTATTTAATACTGTTGCATTTTAGAGGTTAATTTATTATTACAAAAAATAACCCTGCCAAAGTGCAGAAATCAGTAAAATAAGTACTAAAAACTAAGTGAGGTTTACACTTGAAACATCTGTACATTGTTACTTGATGATTTACTGTTTGTGCTTTTGTTTGGGAGAAGTCACCTCTTTCCTTTTTCAACATTATTGTAAAAATCACAACAATACTGTATTATGTGTACTATAGATAAATATATGATAAATGGAACAAACTTTAAGTGAAAGCTTGTAATATTAAAACAGATTTTAAAGATGATATTAATTCAACAAATAAGGTGAATGAAAAGAGGAAGAAAAAAGTGATAAAAATAGTAATAAAGAAAGGGAATTTGACTAGTGAAATGATTTGAAACACGTGTGAATCATTAAATGTTTAGTTATTTCATCTGCCTGTTTTGATACAAATTTTTTCTCTTGACAGACATTAGCTAGTGTTGTTTAAGTCAAATGTGGAAAAAGTCATCAGCTATATGTGACCTTTCTTGTAAAATGCTGTCCTATAGATTAGTTAGTCAGTAAGCGAGTATTTCAAACCCCTGTTACCTAGTCAACGGACTCTGTTCATTATTTAGATGTGCATAATTCTGACATATTACACAACATATTAAAAATTGAGTTGTATAGGTAAAGTCTGTAACAAAAGCATTGTTAGTGTGAAAAAATGCCAAGTTACAAAAAGAGCCCAGTCATATAAAGTGGAGATACCAGACACACAAACCAAGTTAGAAGAAACAATTAAGGCAACTTTGTAACCTAATGTTACTTTTATGATCAGTAGTAGTGTTAACATTATAGTAAAAGTAATAATATAACACAAGGTAGGTGCCTCAAGTGTTTCATCTAACTTGGCTTGTCTGTCTGATATCTACTTTATATACCTGGGCTGTTTTTCTTATAGATGTTACTTCTTTTTTTCACTTGCAAAGTTAATAGAGAATTTTCTGAACTGTGTGACCAGCACTGTTGGTTTCTTGACTTTGTGTTCAGTGCTGCTAGTTTTCTGGACTGTGTGACCAGCACTGCTGCTTTTCTGGACTGTGTGACCAGCGCTGCTGCTTTTCTGGACTGTGTGACCAGCGCTGCTGCTTTTCTGGACTGTGTGACCAGCGCTGCTGCTTTTCTGGACTGTGTGACCAGCTGCTGCTGCTTTTCTGGACTGTGTGACCAGCGCTGCTGCTTTTCTGGGCTTTGTGTTAAGTGCTGCTGTTTTTCTGGGCTTTGTGTTCAGCGCTGCTGGTTTTCTGGGCTTTGTGTTAAGTGCTGCTGTTTTTCTGGGCTTTGTGTTAAGTGCTGCTGTTTTTCTGGGCTTTGTGTTAAGTGCTGCTGATTTTCTGGGCTTTGTGTTAAGTGCTGCTGATTTTCTGGGCTTTGTGTTAAGCGCTGCTGG